GCGAAGGTCGGCGACCTGGCCCTGAGATCTGCCTCTTCCAATAGATGCCACACCGCGACAGTCGCGGCTGGAGTCCCAGATCCCGCCAGATCGATCGCGACAGATCGATCCAGATCGATCCAGATCGATCCATATCGATCGCGACAATCACGAGCCGTTTTCGACCCAATAACTAGTCCCAGATCCCACCCTTCTGCGCCAGGTTGTCGGGCCAGATCGGTCCGTGATGGTCTCGGGGCCCGAGACTGGGCGAAGACGTCCGCTTTGGGCGGCCCGAGATGCCACACCGCGGCAGTCGCCATCTTTCTGCTTCGCGGCCGATGGCCGCCGAAGCTGTACGCGCTGCACAGTGCTCGCGAGGCGGCGCCTGCCCTCGGCGGCACAGGATTGCAAAGCTAAATTACGGACGGGCACTGAGTTTACATACAGTAGGGGTCTTGAAGAAGGAACCCTTTTCGTTGGGGAGGGGCTCCGAGTGTTTCGCAGCTTGCCTCAGGTTTTCCTGATGTTTTCGATCGGACATCGAGGTTTAACTTGTGGAAAAAAAAGGGGCCTCGTTCCTTGTTTAGGGTTCCTCATAGGTCAACGCCCCGACTGTATATATGTACAAAACTATGAGCCGTGCGTTCACACAACGACACTGGCGCTGTGCAGTCGCGCCAAGCACGGCTGGAGTCCCGGAGCCCCTCCTCCTGCGCCAGGTTGTCGGGCCAGGTCGGTCCGTGATGGCCTCGGGGCGGGCGCGAAGGCGTCCGCTCGCTCTGGGCGGCGCGCACCCGGGGGGGTACTCTCGGGGGAGAGGGGGGTATAGGCTGCTCAGAAAGGAGACGGCGTCTCAGAAGGCGCGGGCCCATCTACAGACAAGGAGGCGGCTTCTCAGAAGGCGCGGGCCTCGCATCTGCAGACAGGGCCCGCGCCTTCGACCTTGGAAGGAGCAGGGGCCTCCGAGAGAAACCTTCCCCCCTCCCCCCCGAACCCCCAGATCCTATCTTTCTGCGCCATCTTTCGGGCCAGATCGCTCCGTGATGGTCTCTGGGCCCGAGACTGGGCGAAAGCGTCCGCTTGGGCGGCGCGCACCCGGGGGCAATTTCGGGGGAGAGTGGGGTATAGGCTGCTCAGAAGGAGGCGGCTTCTCAGAAGGCGCGGGCCTCGCATCTACAGACAAGGAGGCGGCTTCTCAGAAGGCGCGGGCCTCGCATCTGCAGACAAGGAGGCGGCTTCTCAGAAGGCGCGGGCCTCGCATCTGCAGACGAGGCCCGCGCCTTCGACCTTGGAAGGAGCAGAGGCTTCTGAGAAACCTCCCCGCCCTCCCCCTCCGAACCCCCTGGCCGACCCCCTCCGGGCCGCCCGGGCGGCCGCGCGGGCCCCGCCGGCCCCCCCCCCCTCGCCCAGCCGCAGGCTGGGTCACCCGTGGGGGCGGCCAGGTAGTCACCGCCTACCAAAGCACCCCAACCCAACCCGAAGGCCTCAGTTTGCCCTCCACTTCTGGTGGGGGGGGGTCGGGGAACATTGAAAAAACACATATGAAAGAACACATATGGAGGTCTTAGGGTTGGGTTGGGGTGGTCTTAGGGTCTTGAAAAAACACATATGAAAGAACACATATGAAAGAACACATATGAAGGAGCACATATGGAACCCGTACCCCCCCCACCCCAACCCGAAAGTGAGGTCTTGGGGTTGGGTTGGGGTGGTCTGGTCGGTAGTCAGGCAGCCCCGGAGACCCCACGCTCCAGCAAGAGCTGAAGCGGCGGGCCTTTGGCCGGCTGCGGCCTCGGGGCCCTCGCTGGGCCTCGGGACCGGCAGGCCAGAAGCGATCGGTGCCGGTGAACGTGTCGGGACTGGGATGGGACCGCGTGCCGAACAAGTCAGGACGTCGCCTGTCTGGGTACGGTCGACCCGCATAGTGAGGATGGGCAACCTCCCAAAGGGGGATGGGCAATCTTCCAAGGGGCACCCTTGCAGCCTCGTCTCCTCGGTCCATCCCTGGCCGCTCCTATTGGCCGCGCCCCGCTCGGAAAAAGCTCCGACATGGGCTTCCAGGGCCCTTGCGTCCTCATCTTGCAAAATGTATTTTTAAAAAATAATATACAACAAACAAACCATATATATATATATATCAACACGATTATCCCAGTGCGACCCTACCTAGGAGTTGGAGCCCCTAGGAAAGCAGCATTAGTAGCAAGAGTAAAGCTAAGCTAAAGCTAAGCAAAAGCTAAGCTAAAGCTAAGCTAAAGCTAAGCTGAAGCTAAGCTAAAGCTAAGCTAAGGCTAAGCTAACACTAAGCTAAAGCTGAGCTAAAGCTAAGCTGAAGCTAAGCTAAAGCTAAGCTAAAGCTAAGCTAAAGCTACGCTAAAGCTACAGCTCAGCTAAAGCTAAGCTAAAGCTAAGCTGAAGCTAAGCTAAAGCTGAGCTAAAGCTAAGCTGAAGCTAAGCTAAAGCTAAGCTAACACTAAGCTAACACTAAGCTAAAGCTGAGCTGAAGCTAAGCTGAAGCTAAGCTAAAGCTAAGCTAAAGCTAAGCTAAAGCTAAGCTAAAGCTAAAGCTAAAGCTAAGCTGAAGCTAAGCTAAAGCTAAGCTAAAGCTAAGCTAATGCTAAGCTAAAGCTGAGCTAAAGCTAAGCTGAAGCTAAGCTAAGCTAAGCTAACACTAAGCTAAAGCTAAGCTAAAGCTAAGCTAACACTAAGCTGAAGTTAAGCTAAAGCTAAGCTAAAGCTAAGCTAAAGCTAAGCTAAGGCTAAGCTAACATCAGAGCGTGAATTACCTACCCCGCTTTCGCTTCCAGGCAAAACCAAGCCATACCACGCGCCTCCTCGTCAAGCGGCCTGACCAGTACAGGCCGTAGTTTGGCATCGCTTGGTATCTCTTGGAAGCGAGGGTGGTCAAAAGCGAGGTAGGTTTGCTGTCCCCCTATAACACTAAGCTACAGCTAAGCTACAGCTAAGCTGAAGCTAAGCTAAAGCTAAGCTAAAGCTAAGGTAAAGCTAAGGTAAAGCTAAAGCTAAGCTACAGCTAAGCTAAAGCTAAGCTGAAGTTAAGCTAAAGCTAAGCTAAAGCTAGGCTAAGGCTAAGCTAAAGCTAAGCTGAAGCTAAGCTAAAGCTAAGCTGAAGCTAAGCTAAAGCTAAGCTACAGCTAAGTTAACGCTAAGCTAAAGCTAAGCTAAAGCTAAGCTAAACCTAAGCTAAAGCTAAGCTAAAGCTAAGCTAAAGCTAAGCTAAGGCTAAGCTAACACTAAGCTAAAGCTAAGCTACCACTAAGCTGAAGCTAAGCTAAAGCTAAGCTAAAGCTAAGCTAACACTAAGCTGAAGCTAAGCTAAAGCTAAGCTAAAGTCAAGCTAAATCTAAGCTAAAGCTAAGCTAACGCTAAGCTAAAGCTAAGCTAAAGCTAAGCTAAAGCTAAAGCTAAAGCTAAGGCTAAAGCTCCCAGGGGACTGGGGGAACCGCGGGGCGGGGACTGGGGGAACCGCCCGGGGCGTGTAGCACTGCCCGGCCCCTTTAAGCAAAGAGAGCAAGAACCCTTCCAGGCAGAGCCTAGGTAGGGGAAAAAATCAACAAAAATCCTCATCGCGCGTCTGCCTGCTGCGGGCTGGCTGGAGCTCACCCGCGGGGGCGCGGAGGTCACCGCGCCGCGCGCCCCGCGGCTCGGGCTGGCGAGGCCGCCCTTCTCGGGGGGGGGGGGGGGGCGTCGGCGAGAGAGAGAGAGAGAGCGCGACGATCACCGCGCGTCGAGCACCGCGGGGCTCGGGGCGCAGGGTTGGGGGCGACCCGGGTTACCGTTATGTCGGGCGTGTCCCCTTACAGGGGGATCTTCGACGAAAAAACAAGTATACCCTAAGAATACCCCGAAAAGGTCAAGAAATACTCAAAACATGCTCCCCAGACTATTTTTGACCTATCTTTTGATTTTTTTTTGGGTAGTTTTCAAACAAATCGTCGAACATCCCCCTGTAGGGGGACAGGCCCGACTTAAGGTGACCGTTGGCCGCGCGGCGACGGGCTCCGGCCCCCCCCCGCCCGGTCCCTCGGGGGCGGCCAAGGAGGGGGTTGGACGACTGGGGTTAAGTCGGGCCCGTCCCTCTACAGGAGGAATCTATTCAGAAATAGTTAAAGCAAATAGTCGGGGGTTATTTTTTGAGCATTTCTGGACCATTTGGGAGCATCTTTTGAGTATTTTTTATGTTTCGTCGAGAATCCCCCTGTAGGGGACAGGCCCGACCTAAGACTGGGGGCTGGGGATAGCATGGTGTGGGTATGGATCGCCTGTTAAGCTCAACCAGCCAGCTTTAGCGCCGCAGACTGCGGGCGACCGCACGAGGCCGCCGAAGCCCGTCAGAAGACCGTCAGAGGACCGAGGAAGACCGCCCAAGGCCGAAAGGCAGCGAGGGGTCCGCGGCCGAAAACGTGGTTTCCCCTGGTGATCTTTACTCCTCCTGCCCTTCCCTCCTCCCCGCTATGCACCTCCCACATGCCTCTCTCTCTCTCTCTCTCTCCCTCCACGCCTCCCCCCCCCCCGGCGGTGCTCCTCGTCCCGCCTCCTCTGGCCTCGGACCTCGCGTCGACTCGCGCAGGGCGGGCCTCCAGGACGATCAGGGCAGCCTTCGGAGGCAGAGGGAGGAGGAGAAGCGGGAGGAGGGAGGAGTGATGGGGAGTTGGAGGAGAGAGGATGGCGGAGGCGGGAGGAGGGCGGAGGAATTGGAGGAGGAGGAGGAGGAGGAGAAGGTGGAGCAGGAGGGCGTATGAGGGAGGGGAGGGGGCGGAGGAGGGAGGCGGATGAGGGAGGCGGGAAGGCTGTAGCCAATTTGGCTCAAGCCATTTTGGCTCAAGCGCTGGGTCGAGGCAGCGTCTGGCTACCGTACCTCCTGCCACAACTCGGGACGTGATACCACATTTTCGTCTGGGGCTCTTCTGTCTCTGCCAGGTGTACACCTTAACCTCTCTGGCGGAGCTCAAGGGAGCTTCAATTTCGAGCAGCATGCACAAGCCCTCCTGCCTCACATGGTGAAAGCCTGTGAGCAGTCCCTCGGTCAGAGACTCGAGGCCATCGATCAAAACATCGGTAGCCTAGGCGTGCGGGTCTCGAAGCTGGAGACCTCGGACGAGCGTGTCAAGGCTCTCGAGGACAGGATGCGGAAACTACTTGAGGAGTTGAACAAGCAGGGCACGCGCAGGTCCCAGTCGGCTGGCTCGTTCGAGCCACTGCTTATTGAGATCAAGGTTTCCTCATTTCGGATCAGCGCCGGGACAAGGGAGTAACACAAGCACAGGCCACGAGGTTCGTGGACCGCCTCCGGCAGGAACTTCCACCCGATCTTCAAGGCTATCTCAGAGAATTTAAATTGGCTGGCATTTTCAGATTTGAGATCCGAGTCCGCACAACCCCCCAGTACACTTTGCAATTGAAGGGGTGTATCTCGGACATCTTGAAGACCGGCAACTACAAGGTCAATTATATCACCCCGTACGTGGTGGCACAGACTCCCATGGAGGTCCGCCGGCAATATCATAAATTTGGCAATATCACCGAGGCCAACGAGAAGGCGGTCACGAAGAAAGACGGGAAGGACATGGCCATCGAATGGTCCGCTTTTTCATGCTACGTCAAGGTCCCCACGGAGGAGAGGCCATTCTTGATTGGGGAGGTGACGGACCGGGGGGACTTGGTCGTGAACGTCAGGAACACCATCAGGCTTGTTAACATGGAAGCTAATGCGTCCGTTATTGGCCTTGTCGGGCCGCCAGTTGGGGGCCCCAGAAACCGGCGATAACACTTTAATTCGAAGTTTCCGAGTTTTGGCTTTTAGCCTCCAGCAGAATTATTCTGAATGGTGGCACAACAAGTGGCACGGGAATTGGGTAAGTTCCTCCCCACCTGTGTTGCGCTTCTTCAGGAGGTACAGTCGTGGACCGATTGCGAGCTCGCAGGCGGTTTGGTCCTCTCGGAGGCGGGCGGCGACTGCGGCACAGTGGTTCCGAGGATGCTGCGTCCAGGTATCTAGCGAACCGTGCATCGAGAATAACACCCAACAGACCAATTGTATGACGTTGTTTTGTTTCGGTCCGTTGTTGTACCACCAAGCGGCCAGAAAGTCAACTGTGCGACATTTTACGGGACCTCGACACCGTGATCGCAGATAGAAGACATCTTGGACGTAGAGATCGAGCCCGTCATTTGGTCATGGTGGGCGATTTTAACATTACGTGGCCGGCGTGGCTCTCTGAGGCCATTGGCTCCGTTGTGCAATTTCGACCGGAGACGAGAAAGGATCGAGTGCAATTCGTATCGGATTGGCTGTGCCGCCACAGGTTGCGGGCATTGAATACCTACGATCCTGATCTGGGGTCCCCAGCTGCAGCACATGTGGAAGAGGAAGCGGGGAAACTCCACTTCGCAGATGGACTGTGCATGCGCGGACACGCTCTTCTTAGGCAAGGCGTCGGCGCAGGACACTTTCATTATTAAGACTGACCGTGTCCCCGCAATCGCTTTCCTTTCTGCTCGTGCAAAGATTGGCACCGCAGTCTCAAGACAGATATCCTCCGTGGGATGGGTGCCAGAATCGAGCTCGGCGTTGCGTGACTTCCGAGCATTTTGTTAGCAGCTTTCATCTTGTTTCGAGCTCAGACTTCTCACGGTCCTGATTCGATTGAGTCCGGCGTGGCCGGTATTTCCTCGAATGCACCGCGCACGACCCGCAGCGATCCAAGGCATCCCAGAGCGTGCTGGAGGATTTGAGGGGGGCCCGTCGCGGTTGGAACCAGGGGGGGGGGGCTTTTGACGAAAGCAGAGGCGCACAACATGGCAGAAATTACGCCGCGTTCATTTTCGACGCGCCCGCGGCAAGCATCCCAGGGCTCTTGGAAAACGCACTCGGAATCCGTGCGTCCCGCCGCAGTCTGTATCGCTGGAGAGTGGAAACTCGGTTTTCTCCGGGAGACGAGCGGCGCTGGGAAGCTCGCTAGATGCGTCGGAGCAGGCGTGGCGACGCGGGGAAGAATGGTGGCGTGCAATCCTGGGGGCACCAGGCTTGCCGCGTTCACGCGCGAGACGAAATCGTGGCTTGCCGGCCCTGTCTGTCCGGTACTTGACCAGGTTTCTGCGCGTTCGTCCAGAGCGAGTTATCGAGCGGATCAGATCTTGGCCCAGATGGAGTGGCCACCGAGGTTCGGGAGCTCATCCCTACAGTTCTGATGATTCATATTTGCAATTTGTTTTCATGGCAGGGCGATGTTCCTCCTCGGCGGTGGATGCTGGAGCTGGTGGGCATTCCGAAAGTTTCGATGCCAATCGGCTTGGCGGGGTTGCGTCATCGCGAAGTCGCCTATCTCGTGGAAGTGGTACCTCGAGTGTGTCTTGGATAATTTCCGCTGCGAGACCATGCCGGGCACGGTCCGCGCCTACGGATTCAAGCTGGGCATGCCCGCGCTCGCGCTCGCAGAGTTGTTGCGCCAGCGTTTGCATCTTGGCAGGGGCAGGGGGCGCGACGTCTGCATTATGGCTGGCGGTGTTCGCATGGTCTTCGAGGCGACGAAACATGCCGAGACAAATTGGGCTTTGCGCCGCCGCGGAGTCCACCCGCAACTCCTCGGCAGCGCTGTTGAATGAGCTCGCGGGCCCCCGCGCCGCAGTCAAGATGGCAGATGCCAGCCCGTCCGGCTGTTCCTTCCATGAGCGAGGCTGCCGCCGAGGAGGAGTAGAACCCCTGGGCCTGTTCAACGCGCTGGTGGAGGCGGCGCTGGAGGATTTAGTCGGGAAGTGGAGAGAGCAGGAATTCGCATTTATTGTCGATGATGTCGAGCATGTAAACCACGCTGCAGGGTGCGACGGTATTTCTTGATCGCGAAGTCCGGGCGAGGCTGGACCCCCATTCCACGATGGCGCAGACGCGACGCGCAAACGCCGGCTCATCTGGAAACCGACTTCGTTGGAACCCCTCTGCAGCCTGGACGTTGCAAGCATCGTCGAGCGCGTTCCACTACTCGCAAAGTGCCTACTCGAAAACGTCCGAACAGAAATAGGTCTTCCATAATGTAATTTATCGTAGATCACCCGCGTTGGATCCCGGCCAGTTGCGAGTTGTTGAGTTGCGAGTAGTGCACGCGCTCGTCTGGAACAGTTTGGGGCGCTGGTTTGTTTCTTCAGCGGGGGGAGCTATGGCATCCAAGCCGCCCGAAAACTCGCTCGCGCTCGGCGCGATGCTGAGCCGGGCAGGGCCCGCCGAGCGCAGCTGGCCGAGCATCGAATGGCACGGGCCGCTTTCTGCTTTCACGAATGCCGCGAGCTGCTGTCTCAGTAGTTGGGGAATTCGGGGTCCAGAGTGCGCGATTTCTACGGCGCGGTGAGAAACGCACTGTCGTGCAACGCTGGAGGCCGGCATCTCGCTTGAGACACCTTTTGCCGCATGAGGTCGCGGGGAAGTCAACAATTACAACGTCGCTGCGGGTTTTTGCCGAAGGCCGTGCAAGGGCCGCCAGGAGTGCAACCAGCGAGCGTCGAAGAGATTCCAAGAATGGCTGGGCATGTGCGGCCAGTGGAGAGCCCGCCGCGGCGCCGTCGCAGCCGCGCATTCTTGTGCGCGCGCTCTGTGCAAGTTCCACCTGCTAGGTGGCGCGAGACTCTTGCGCGCTTTTCCGGTAGCTCGCAGTAAGAAGTGGCGGGCGGATATCTCTCCAGAGATGAGGAAGATTGACGCGTAAACGAAACGAAATGGAGGCGCTGGACAAGCGGATGCCGAATGCTCTGGGCAAGCCTTTTCCTGGTCGCCTGCGGGGGAATGGACGGGCAGCAGCTGACGGGGAATACTGGCAGACATACCCGGCGAGACTTCGTCAACAAGGTTCGCGCTTCCTGGGGCCTTCGGACGATCCGCGTTTCAGAGAACACTCGTCCGTCGAGCGGGAGCGTGCAGTTCGATGTCCTTCCAGGCTGCTCACTGCTCCATCCTCTTTGGAATGTTCCTTTGTACGTAGGGTGGATGACGAACCATTGTCCAAGTGGTGCAGCGCGACGGCGGTTATCATGATTCGTTTTCGCATTCGCGTGCACGCCCTTCTGGACACTCTCGCACGCCATGTCTTGGAGAACGGATGGAGTATCGGAGGCCCCACAAACTCTCGGGTACAATGGCGGACGCCCTCGCTAGCGTGCCCGTTTGATTTACACAGATGCTGTCATTGTATTTGACGGCGAGTGCCGGCGCGGAACGCGGGAGTCATTTGCGGCATAGGGCATATACGGCTTACGTGGAGAAGGTTGTTGGACAATTTCATTATGCTTGCAGTGGGCGATATGTGCGCCCCTGGTCTGGACAGTAACGAAACCGAGCTCCTCGTGTTTGAGCTTGCCGTGGCACTTTTTTCCCCATTACTATTAACGCGCAGTATGGGATTTCTCACCAACACGACGTCTTACTTCACGATCTGAGTTGCAGTGGTTGCGGGCTGCGCTAAAAGAGCAATGAACTGCGGCCACATGCTGTAAGCAGTGACCAGACGAAGCGACGCGAAACGAGGAAGAGGCGGAGGAGGAGGAGGAGAACGAGGAGGAAAAGGAGAAGGAGGAACAGGAGGAAAAGAGGGGGGACGTGGGAGGGAGGGAGAGGGAGGGAGGGAGGGAACCAGGGGGGGGGAGGCCAAAAGACGTAAGGGGGTGGCAGGGGGGGATGGGGGAGGGGGACGGGGAAGGGAAGAGGGAGGGGATCTCGAATCTTGTCCGTCCTCGTCTTCCCCCCCCTGCGCCCCGTCCCTCCCCCCGCGCGTTCTCGGGAGGTGGCCTCCCTGGAGCCTCCCCCGGACGAGAGCGACGACAGTGGCTGACCTGCGCGCCGCCTGGTGGACGCTCTCGCGCTTGGCAAGGGCCACTCGGAACGGTCGACGGAGGAGGAGGAGGAGGAGGAGGAGGAGGAGGAGGAATGGGAAGAATAGGAGGAATAGGAGGAATAGGAGAGATGGAGCAGGAATATGAGGAATAGGAGAAGGCGGAGGATGAGGAGGCAGAGGAGGAGGAGGAGGACGAGGAAGAGGAGGAGGAGGAGGAGGAGGAGGAGGAGGGGAGAAGGACGAATAGGAGGGGAGGAGGAGGAGGAGGAGGAAAAGGAGGAGGATGAGGAGGAGGATGAGGAGGAGGAGGAGGAGAAGGAGGAGGAGGAGGAGGAGGGATGAAGGATGAGAGGGAGGAAATGAGGGAGGAGGCGAGGAGGAGTGGAGCTGGAACAGGACGAGGGATACGGAGCGAAGAGTGAAGACGCAGGAAGATGAGGAAGAGGAGGAGGAGGAGGAGGAGGAAGAGGAGAAAGGGGAGGAGGATGAGGAGGAGGACCAGTGTAAACTCAAGACGCACATACATATATATATATATATATATATATACAGTGCCCCGGCAACCAGGGTTCCCAGTTCGCGCCGGCGCCGAAGACGCTATTTGAAGACGCTATTCCCTGTGACGACGCCTCCCTGTGAAGACGCTAATCCTTGTGAAGACGCTATTTCCGGTGAAGACGGTGAAGACGCTATTCCGGGTGAAGACGCTAATCCTTGTGAAGACGCTATTCCCAGTGAAGACGGTGAAGACGCTATTCCGGGTGAAGACGCTATTCCTGGTGAAGAAGCGTTCTGCGGACACAGACAGCACTTCCCCTATGAAGACTCCATTTTGGGTGAAAACGATATTCCCGGTGAAGACGCTAGTCGCTGTGAAGTCGCTATTCCGGGTGAAGACGCTATTCCTTGTGAAGACGCTATTCCGGGTGGAGACGCTATTCCCAGTGAAGACGCTATTCCAGGTGAAGACGCTATGTTCCCGGTGAAGACGCTATTCCGGGTGAAGACGCTATTCTTTGTGAAACTGCTCTTTCTCTTTACCATGCACAGTATTCAACGTGCTCCCCTCCCAATTGTAATTTGAAATTGCCATTTTACTCCACGCTTTCCGTGCCTAACACAGCGCGTGCCCCATCTGCTGTGCGACACCCTCTGCTAGGCAATACCACTCCCCAAGTTGATTTAAAAAGAATCCTAGACGTGCTCCATCTGCTGTGTGGCACCCTTAGTTGGGCACTGGCCCTCCCAAAGTTGGTTAAACAAATCCTTGGTGTTTGGCGTGCCCCATCTGCTGAACGGCACCTTCTGCTAGGCAAGACCCCTCCCCAAGTTGATTTAAATAGAATCCTTTGTGCTAGACGTGCCCCGTCTGCTGTATGGCACCCTTTGTTAGGCAATGGCCCTCCCCAAGTTGATTGAGAAAAGAATCCTTAGTGCTAGGCGTGCCCCATCTGTTGTGCGGCACCTTCTGCTAGGCAAGACCCCTCCCCAAGTTGATGAAAAATAATCCTTGGTGCTAGATGTGCCCCTTTGCTGTGCGGCACCCTCTCCAAGGTGAGGCCCTTTGCTGCGCTGCACCTTCTGCTAGGCAAGACCCTTCCTCAAGTTAATTGAAACAGAATCCCTGGTGCTAGACATGCCCTTTTGCTGTGCGGCACCTTTGCTAGGCAAGACCCTTCGCCAAATTGATTAAAAAAGAATCCTTGGTGCTGGACATGCCCTTTTGCTGTGCGGCACCCTCTGATAGGCAAGAGCCCTTCCCAAGTTGATTTAAACAGAATCCTTGGTGCTGGGCGTGCCCCATCTGTTGTGCGGCACCTTTGCTAGGCAAGACCCCTCCCCAAGTTGATGAAAAAAGAATCTTTGGTGCTAGATGTGCCCCTTTGCTGTGCGGCACCCTCTCCAAGGTGAGCCCTTTTGCTGCGCGGCACCTTCTGCCAGGCAAGACCCTTCCCCAAGTTAATGAAAACATAGTCCCTGGTGCTAGACATGCATTTTGTTGCTCGGCACCCTATGCTAGGCAAGACCCCTCCCCAAGTTGATTTAACAAGAATCGGTAGACATGCCCCATCTGCTGTGCAACAGCCTCTTCTGGGCAAGACCCCTACCGGAGGACCCCTCCCCAAGTTGATTAAAAGAGAATTTTTGGTGCTTGACGTGCCCCATCTGCTGTGCGGCACCCTCTGCTAGGCAGGACCCCTCCCCGTGCCCCATGTGCTGCGCGGCACCTTCTGCTAGGCAAGACCCCTCCCCAAGTTGATAAAAAAGAATCCTTGGTGCTAGATGTGCCCCTTTGCTGTGCGGCACATTCTGCTAGGCAAGGCCCACCCCCAAGTTGATAAAAAATGAATCCTTGGTGCTAGACGTGCCCCATCTGCTGTGTGGCACCTTCTGGTAGGCAATGGCCCTCCCCGAGTTGCTTTAAAAATAATCCTTGGTGCTAGACGTGCCCCATTTGCTGCGCGGCACCCTTTGCTAGGCAAGACCCCTCCCCAAATTGATTTAAAAAGAATCCTAGACGTGCCCCATCTGCTGTGTGGCACCCTTTGTTGGGCAATGACCCTCCCCAAGTTGGTTAAGCAAATCCTTGATGCTTGACGTGCCCTATCTGCTGAACGGCACCTTCTGTAAGGCAAGACCCCTCCCCAAGTTGATTAAAAAGAATCCTTGGTGCTAGACGTACCCCATCTGCTGTATGGCACCCTTTGTTAGGCAATGGCCCTCCCCAAGTTGATTTTAAAAAGAATCCTTGGTGCTGGGCGTGCCCCATCTGTTGTGCGACACCTTCTGCTAGGCAAGACCCCTCCCCAAGTTGATGAAACAAGAATCCTTGGTGATAGATGTGCCCCTTTGCTGTGCGGCACCTTTGTTGCGCGGCACCTTCTGCTAGGCAAGACCCTTCCCCAAGTGAATTAAAACAGAATCCCTGGTGCTAGACATGCATTTTGCTGTGCGGCACCTTTGCTAGGCAAGACCCCTCGCCAAGTTGATTGAAAAAGAATCCTTGGTGCTGGACATGCCCTTTTGCTGTGCGGCACCCTCTGATAGGCAAGAGCCCTTCCCAAGTGGACTTAAAAAGAATCCTTGGTGCTAGGCGTGTCCCATCTGTTGTGCGGCACCTTTGCTAGGCAGGACCCCTCCCCAAGTTGATGAAAAAAGGGTCCTTGGTGCTAGATGTGCCCCTTTGCTGTGCGGCACCCTCTCCAAGGTGAGCCCTTTGCTGCGCGGTACCTTCTGTTAGGTAAGACCCTTCCCCAAGTTAATGAAAACATAGTCCCTGGTGCTATATGTATTTTGCTGTGCCAAGACCCCTCGCCAAGTTGATTGAAAAAGAATCCTTGGTGCTAGACATGCTCCTTTGCTGTGCGGCACCCTCTGATAGGCAAGAGCCCTTCCCAAGCGGATTTGAAAAAGAATCATGATACCGGAGAAACCCCCAATCATAATCTTTTTAAGGCTGTAGGGCTACAGGGCTATATGGGCTCTTGGGCACTATGTGGGCTATTGGGCTATATGTCTATATGGGCTATAGGGCTATTGGGCTATAGGGCTACAGGACTATAGTGCTATAGGGCACCCCCGGGCACCCGGGCACCCCCGGGCACGCCCGGTCACCCGGGCACCCTGGCACCCGGGCACCCCCAGGCACCCGGGCACCCAGGCGTGTAGCGAAAATCGGCGACAAACCTAACTAACCTAACCATATGAATCCGCTAGGACCCCTACAGAGGCAAGCTCTGATTGGGGAATCTAAAAGAGAGCCTGGTGAGCCCCCGGAGTCTACTGGGGCCTCCTGGAGCTCACCGGGGCTTCCTGAGGCCTCCTAACCCCTCCCGGTGCCTCCTGGAGCTGTCTTGGCCTACTCCTGGGGCGCGAATCCTTTGTGTTAAACGTATGTGCCAATATATTGGCCTTCTCTTGGGGTGCGAGTCAGTTGTGTTTCACGCATGTGCCTATAGATTGGCCACTCCTGGGGCACGAACGTTTAGTGTTTTACGTGCGTGCTTATATATTGGCCGTATCATGGAACGCAAATCTTTAGCGTCTTACGTGATGCCTGGAGATTTGCCTTCTTCTGGGGCGCGAATCCTTTGTGTTTTACACATGTGCGTATAGGTTCGCCCTCTCCTGGGGCACGAGTCCTTTGTTTTTCGCGCGTATGCCTTTAGATTGGCCCTTTCCAGGGGCGCGAATCTTTCGGGGTTTACTCATTTGCTTATAGATTTGCCTTCCCCTGGGGCACGGGCCCTGCGTGTTTTACGTACGCGCCTATGGATTTGCCCTTTCCTTGGGCACGAACCTTTCGTGCTATACGCATGTGCGTATAGATTCGCCCTCTCCTGGAGCACGAATCCTTCGTGTCTTACGTGTGTGCATATAGATTGGCGTTCCCCCGGGGAACGAATCCTTTTGTGTTTAACGTATGTGCCAATAGATTGGCCTTCTCTTGGAACACGAACTCTCTTAGTGTTTTACGTATGAGATTGACCCTCTTCCTAGGGCGCGAATATTTCGTGCTTCACGTGCGTGCTGATAGAGTGGTCGTATCATTGGGGGGCGAATCCTTAGCGTGATTGGCCCTCTCCGAATCTTTCGCGTTTTTCGTAATTGCTTATAGACTTGTCCTCCCCTGTGGCACGAACCCTGCGAAGCGTCACGAGCTTCACCGGGCGTCAGGAGAATAGAGGCTTCGGACCGAATAGAGGCTTCACGAGCTCCACCGGGCGTCGGGCGAATAGAGGCTTCCGGCCGAATAGAGGCTTCACGAGCTTCACCAGGCGCCAAGGGAATAGAGGCTTCAGGCCGAATAGAGGCGTCACGAGCTTCAACGGGCGTCAAAGGAATAGAGGCTTCAGGCCGAAAAGAGGCGTCACGAGCTTCACCGGCCGCCAGGGGAATAGAGGCTTCAGGCCGAATAGAGGCGTCACGAGCTTCACCAGGCGCCAAGGGAATAGAGGCTTCAGGCCGAATAGAGGCGTCACGAGCTTCAACGGGCGTCAAAGGAATAGAGGCTTCAGGCCGAATAGAGGCGTCACGAGCTTCACCGGGCGCCAGGGGAATTGAGGCTTCAGGCCGAATAGAGGCTTCACGAGCTTCACCGGGCGTCAACGGAACAGAGGTTTCAGGCTGAATTGAGGCCACGAGCTTCACGAGCTTCAATTGGCGTCAGGGGGATAGAGGCTTCAGGCCGAATAGAGGCGTCACGAGCTTCACCAGGCGCCATGGGAATAGAGGCTTCAGGCCGAATAGAGGCTTCATGAGCTTCACCAGGCGTCAGGGGAATAGAGGCTTCAGGCCGAATAGAGGCTTCACAAGCTTCAACGGGCGCAGGAAAAGAGGCTTCAGGCCGAATAGAGGCGTCACGAGCTTCACCAGGCGTCAGGGGAATAGAGGCTTCAGGCCAAATAGAGGCTTCACGAGCTTCAACGGGCGTCAAAGAAATAGAGGCTTCAGGCCGAGTAGAGGCGTCACGAGCTTCACCGGGCGCCAGGGGAATAGAGGCTGCAGGCCGAATAGAGGCTTCATGAGCTTCAATGGGCGTCAGGGGAATAGAGGCTTCAGGCCAAAGAGAGGGTTCACGAGCTCCACCGGGCGCTAGGAGAATAGAGGCTGCAGACGAAATAGAGGCTTCACGAGCTTCAATGGGCGTCAGGGGAATAGAGGGTTCAGGCCGAAGAGGCCCCTTTAGGGTCGCTACCCCACCAGTGCGTCGCAAGTCGTAGGCCCACCTAGAGGCGTCACGAGCCGAATAGAGGCTTCAGGCCGAATGGAGGTTTCAGGCCGCATAGAGGCTTCACGAGCTTCAATGGGCGTCAACGGAATAGAGGCTTCAGGCCGAATCGAGGCTTCACGAGCTTCACCAGGCGTCAGCGGAATAGAGGCGTCACCGCAGCTCCTTGGGGGAATAGCGTCTTCACCTAGCGTCTCCGGCGCCGGCTCGAAGTCGGACCCCCCCGTGTTAGCACTTGGGTTTTTGGCTTCTTTTTCTTAGGAATTCAGGTGGTGTGGCGGTCTGGGGGCTATGTTGTCGCCGTCGCCGCCTCATCGCCGCCCGTCGTCTGGGCTGGTGTGGCGGTATGGCGGCTACAATGCTGTCGCTGTCGCCGCGCCGTCGTCGCCTTCTCGCCGTCCGTCGTCTGGTGTTGCGGTCTGGCGGCTATGTAGTCGCCGTCGCCTCCGCCCCGTCGCCGTCTCGTCGCCACCCGTCGCCGCCGATGGATAGCGCCGCATTGATTGTTTTTTTTTCTACGGAACATTAATTGCACAACATGTTTTGTGCACCACGTGCAACGCACCACAACAATTACACCAAAAAGGGCTGCGTCACATATAATGCAGCACGTAGAATTCACAAAGTATATCGTACCCACATGTTATACATTATTCGTTCTCCTTTTCTACAAGGAATTAAATTCTCCCTTGGGATTATCCGTGCCCTGTCGCGTATTGCAATTTACATATGATTATGCCCCATCGTCCATCCTAAATATGAAGTCGTACCATCCCAGGCAGGCCGGTATCGACACCCCCGGTCATCTTCTACAAAAAACACAATGCGCGCGCACTCGTTTATCACAAATCATCAGTTTTCAAGAATCCCTTCCAAAGCAAATAAACCAAGTGCACACGCGCGCCTCGTCGCGCGCGCATGCCACAATGTTCCGAAACTATACGTTTCGTAAGTGTGGTAAAGAACATGGTTTCGCAACACGGATGTTAAAGAAAAAGACTTGCGGTTTCGTTCTTGCGAGTTTTTAAGAAAATTAAAGCTTGTTCAACATTTTCGTAAGATGTTGCCAAACGGGCATCGCGCGCGCATGTCGTAATCGTTCGAACGCCCTTGCGCGCGTGCTGTCGCAAGGATCCTTTGCACAAACAGCAAGAGGAAATGCACACGCGCGCGCGTCGTCGCGCGTGCATGCCGAAATCCGTCAAAAACCTGAGGCCCCGTAAGGATTTCAGAACCGAGTGTCGCGAAACCATATAAAAACACGGATGGCTTCGCAACAATTGTTTTCAAAAGGCCTGCGCTCGTGCTCTTGCAAATTCTCAAGACAACCATAGGTTTTTAGCATTGTCATGGAATTCAACCAAACGGGCCTTTCGCGCCGCATGCCGAAAACATTCGAACGCCCTTGCGCGCGTGCTGGGGGGGCACGATCCGTGTCAAATAATACCATGCGGGCCACTCTCGCGCGTCGGCCGCGCGCGCACGTCGACGAACTCCATCCAAAACCTTCATCGCAGCATCGGCGCCGTCACTGGCCGTGCCAGGAGGAGGACGACGAGGATGTGTTGGAGGATGAGGAGGATGCAGGACGTATGGTTTCACCCCGGCCGCGTGGTCTTGTTGTCGCCCGTTCCGCTGGGCAGCGTGCAGCTGAAGGGGAAACTCACGAGAAGCGCGTACTCGTGACTGCCGCCCTGCTCGTCTTTTCCTCTCCCTCCCCCTCCCCCTTTCACTCCTCCTCCTCCCCCGTTTCCTCCTATTCCCCTTCTCCTCCCTCCTCCACTCTCCGCATCCTCGGAGTCCGCGACGGACTATCGGAGGTGCCTCGAAATGTCACCGCCGCCTGGTGCAGCGGCAGATTCCAGCGTTTTCGGCCGCGGCCTTTCGCCTGGGACAGGAAAGGACTTGACAGTGACAGGCAGGCCGCTCGCATCGGTGCTCGGCTTTCCCCTTCGGCGGCAGAGCGCGCAGTCAATGTGCGGAAGGCAGCCAGGCGCGGGGCCGCATATTGTGCTGGCCTCCGGCGAGTGCCGCCGATCCAGGGGGTTCCGGACAATGATGATGATGAAGATGCTGATGATAATGATGACGATGATGAAGAAGATGTTGCTGCTGCTGCTGATGATGATGAAAATGATGAAATGTATGGAATGATGAAGATTATGAAAATGATGAAAATATTGAAAATGATGAAAATTATGAAAATGATGATGATGCTGATGACGATGATGATGATGCTGATTATTATGATGCTCATGATGATGATGATGATGCTGATGCTGATGCTGATGCTGATGCTGATGCTGATGCTGATGCTGATGCTTCTGATGATGCTGATGATGATGATCATGATCATGATCATGATCATGATGATGATGATGGTGGTGGTGATGATGATGATGATGATGATGATGACGATGATGATGATGATGATGATGATGATGATGATGATGATGATGATGATGATGATGATGATGATGATGATGATGATGATGATGATGATGATGATGATGATGATGATGATGATGATAATGATGCTGATTACCATGATGAGTATGATGATGCTTATCATGATAATGGCTATGGGGCCATCTTGGGCGTCTTGGGCCGATCGTTCGGTGATTCGGGGCTTTCTTGGGCCGTCTTGAGGGCCTCTTGGGGCCCTGTTGGCCCGTCTTGGGCCTCTCTTGGGCTCGAAAAAGTCATGCAGGAACATTTCTGGGGGCCCCAGAGGGCGCGCGGGGAACCTCGAGAGATTTGAGAGCTCGGGTCCGGGCCCATTAAGAATCTTCAGGCTTGAGGACTGAGGCTCAGGGGATTGAGCAAGGGACCTGGGGAAGCCTCTTGGGGGTCGTTTTGGGGCCTCTGGGGCCTCTTTCGAGCCTCGTGGGGGCCTTCTGGGGCTTTTTGGGGGCTTCTTGGGGGCCTGGTCCCCCCGCCCCCGAGCACTAAATGCGTCGGGAATGGCGTCCCCCTCCCCTCCCTCCCAGAGCCTCCTGGGGGCTTCTTGGGGGCCTGTGGCCCCCCCCTGCCCCCGAGCTTCAAATGCATCAGGAATGGCGTCCCCCCCCTCCTCTCTGCCAGAGCGAAGCTTGAGCGAGCTCAAGGCCACGCTCTCAGAAACTCACACGCCGGATCGGCGGATTTTCGCCACTCCCACCCCGCCCCGCCTCGTCTTTCCGACTCCGGCTCGCACCCCTGCGATTCCATTGTGTTTCTATCTTCCGACTCCCGCGTCTACCTCCCCGACTCCTGCGATCGTCTCCCTGGCTCGGGCTCCGACTCCTACTCGCAACACGTCCCCGGACGGCTTCGGCCCCCCCGCGCTGCTCTCGTAGGTCTTGGTGCTGGCCCCGACGGACTGACATCGCGCGCTCGCTCGCTGACTCGCCTTGAGTCGGGATCCCGCAAAGGGAGGGTGTGCCCCAGGGTGTGTGTATGTGTGTGTGTTGTGTTTGTTTGTGTGTGTGAGAGAGAGAGAGAGAGAGAGAGAGTTCGATCGGCTTTTGCACCGAACCGCCCAAAGCAGATGCCCCCCCAGCCGCAGGCAGTTCCCGATAGTTGCCGATAGGTGGGGCATGCGGGGGGCATCTGTTTGGGGCAGTTCGGTGCAGCAGCGGATCTAACTCATGCCCCCCCCTGAGGGTCACACCTTTTGGTGGATCCCGACTGAGACGAGTGATTCGCGAATTGGAGGTGGGCGTGGCAGTGGGGCTTGGATCGGATGGTGGGCCCACGGGCGACGCACGGCTGCGTGCACGGTTGAACGCGGGTTGTTCGCGCTGGAACACTGAAAGCCCATCGTCAGCCGAACCTATCAGTGTATGGGGCACGATTTGCCCAGCGCTAATGAGGACGTATCTGTGTGCGTACAGCCCCTCAACGCAACAGAAGACCCCTATCACTCTCATGCACAAGGACCCGCCCCCCATGTGGCCTGGGGGGGGAGGGGGGATGAGGAGGAACAGGAGCAGCAGAGAGTGAAGGACGGGGTCTCTGCCCGTGGGTGGTGGGGATCAGCAATCAGCATCAGCATCATCCTCCTCCTCGTCGACCTCGTCGTCGTCGTCCGGAGCAAGTTCGGCTCAAGATGGCGCGAGTGTGGGCAGGGATGTGGACCTTGAGGGTTTCCCTAGCTGGAGGAGGAGGAGGAGGAGGAGGAGCGCCGCTTCTTGGGTCAGGCCACGGATCTTTCCGTGCAGCGCGCGGCCAGAGTGTCCGCAGGTCTTCGTAGCAGCCGTCGCAGACACGGCAGCGCGAGCCTGTTCTGGAGCCCAGGCCACCTGGCGGGCTCGGCAGAGGCAGGCTGGCTGCCAGCACGGGGGGGACGCTGGTGGGGGTCTGTCGTGGCCTGTTGGTCGCCGCCTCGTGCGCTGCTGTCGCTGTCCTTGACCGCCCGCGCAGCGCCGGGAGTGTCGGGAGTGATGAGTCAGGAGGGGCAAGAACACACAGACACCATGAATGGTCGATTCCCCAGGAACCATCTTGGGCGAACTTGGGGGCCGTCTTTCAGGAGGGAAAGAAGCACACAGACACAATTCATCGTCGATTCCCAGGAAAATACGGGAAAGTATGGCTCGTGGGGGGAAGAAAAATCCAGAAAATATGGGAAAAGATGGGGAACCCTTGTCTTTGTGCCTCTTCGTTTGTGTGCCCCAGGGCCCCTTCACCCAGCGAGAGGCCGCCGCGCCGCTGGAGGCCCTGGCGCCGGCAGGGCCCAGCGCAGCGCCGGAGCCCAGCGTCCTCTGCCCCGCCCCGCACGTGGCAGCGGTTGCCTGGTGCTGCGCCCGGCGCGCTCGGGCTGCGCCCGGCGCAGTCGGGCGCCGAGGAGGGCACCGTCGAGAGCCCGTTTTTGCTCTGGTTGTCCTTGACCATCCGCGTAGCGCCGGGAGCGTCGTGCGTGAGGCAGCCGCGCCGTTGGAGGTCCTGGAGCCAGCGAGGCCCGCAGCGCCAGAGCCCAGCGCCCTGCCCCGCCCCGCACGTGGGAGCGGTTGCCCGGTGCGGCGCCCGGCGCATTCTGGCGCCGAGGAGGGCACCGTCGAGAGCCCGCTTTTGCTCGGGATGCATGAGTCACAGCAGTTTTGGTTCATTTGCTCCTGGAAGCTGTCGAACCGAGTGTCGCCGTCAAGTGTAGATAGAAAGAATAGAAAGAGAGAGAGAGAGAGAGAGAGAAAGAGAGAGCGGGGACCGAAGCTTGCGGGCGGTGGCGAGGCGTCGAGCTGCTCGCCGGGGCAGCGGTTGCCCGGCTGCGCCCGGCGCACTCGGGCTGCGCCCGGCGCGGTCGGGCGCCGAGGAGGGCACCGCCGAGAGCTCGACTGTGTTTAGCGGGCGAAGAACGGTATAACATAATTTGTTTTGCCGTCGGGGACACCTGCCCCTGGGCGGCTGGAAAGTTTATACCCCTACGGTGCCACCGCAAGGGTATAAACTTTCCAGCCGCCCTGGGTCAGGAGGGGAAAAAACACACAGACACAATTAATCGGCGATTCCCAGAAAATATGGGAAAATATGGGAAGTGGGGGGGAAGACAAACACCCAGAAAATATAGTTATGAAAATATGGGGGATATGTTTATTTGTGTGTATTCATTTGTGTGTCCCAATTCCCCTTCACTGGGGCAGGTGTCCCCGACGGCGAAAAAGTTTATGTTATACCGTGCTTTGCCCGTGAACGTGTTCGCGAGCACCCTCTGGAGCCCGACGGGCGGCCCCGGGGGGCGAATACCCGAGGGCAGCATCGCGGGGGTGCGAGAGACAATCCTCCCTGGGCTCGGGAAGATATCCCACGCACCCGTGCTTCTAATCCTCCTGGGGGCCAAGACGCGGCCCCGCGGCGGCGGGAGTCGAGGAGAAAGGCGGGGATGGAGGAAAAAGGAAGCTCATGAGTCACAGCAGTTGGTGGTTCCTTTGCTCCTGGGAGCTGCCGAACCGAGCGAGTGTCGCCGTCAAGTGCAGATACGAGAGAGAGAGAGAGGAGAGAGAGAAAGAGAGAGAGAGAGGAGAGAGAGAGAGAGAGAGAGAGAAAGAAAAAACAAAAAAAAGGGAGAGCGGGGGCCGAAGCTTGCGGGCGGTGGCGGGGCATCGAGCTGCTCGCCGGTGCGCGTGAGTCCTCCGCCGTGTCTGTTGCTGGCGGCTGCGTGGGGTGTTCCTGGGCCCATTTTCTCCCCGCAGCTCCACGGTCAGATAGCAGACCATGCATTCCTTCCCGCCGTGGACGCACGAAGTGAACCCCACCCTCCCCCTCAGAAATCGTGGGGGGTAGGGGTAGGGTTCGCAAGTGGCCCCCTAGAGAGGCCTGCGGCGGACGGGGGCGGCCCCAGATACGGGCCAGGGCGCGCGCGCTCTTCCTCTCCCTGGCGGCGGGGCGGCGGCTCCACGGTCAGATAGCAGGCCATGCATTCCTTCCCGCCGTGGACGACCACCTCGAGAGCATTGTGTGTGTGCGTGTGTCCTGGGCGTTAGGCGGGGTGGCCGTGGCGTTTGCGCCCCTCGGCGGCCACTGTTGTGCGTCGAGGATGTTTCGCAGTCTCGTGCCCGAGGGTGCAGAACGTGCGGCCGTTCCTCACCCGGCGATGGGGCACCGCCGTCGCGGGTCAGCACGTGCGCGACGCACACTCGCACCAATTGTGCCCAACTTTGTGGATGAGACTCGGAAGCCGGGCAAGGGCTGCTAAGTCCGTGGCTGCTAAAATCGACCTCCGGGAGGTTGTCTTCGCTCTTCCGGGAAGAAGCCCGGCGGACTGTCTCGCGCGCCGCGCCTCGCTCCGGGAAGCTGCCTTTTCTCCTTCCGGGAGGGCCGTTTTGGCAGCGACGGTTTTAGCAGCCCTCGCCCAGCTTCCAAATCTGGGCCTCCTCCTCCTCCTCCGCCTCCTCCTCCTCCTCCTCCTCCTCCTCCTCCTCCTCCTCCTCCCCCTCCTCCTCCCCCGGGAAGCTGTTTTTTCCGTCCAGGAGGGCCGCTTTGGCAGCCACGGTTTCAGCAGCCTTCGCCCCGCTTCC